GGAGGCCAAGATGGCCAAACTTCGTCTCTCATACTTCGGACATATTGTCAGGAGGGACCAGTCACTGGAGAAGGATATCATGTTTGGTAAGGTGGAAGGTCAGAGAGAAAGAGGAAGACCCCCAGTGAGATGGATTGGTAAAGTGGTAGCATCTATGGGCTAGTTTGCTATTGATCTGAATCAACTCGACAGCACTTAACAACAACAACAACGAGACTAAGACAAATGCATTCTTCAAAGCACTTGTCTGTAAGCCACCCACTGATCCCAGTGACAACTTTAAGTGCATTTTGTTCGGAATAAACCTGTGCATGTATAACTGGAACCTTAGTATCAATACATTTGAATTCTCTTTGCATCTATGCATGTATGTGGTCATAAAATACAGTTGTGAGTAAATTTGATTAGGATTAAGTAAGAGATTTTCTATGTCCCAGAAGAGTATTGGTTACATTTTTCTTTTCTTTTAATGTCCTAGTCAGGTTTTTGCATAAGTCTTACACTTTTCCTCATGAAATGAGGTTCTCCGTCACCTGTATTTACTCAGAAAGCTTGATACTGTTCTTCCTTAAATGTTTTGTGTAATTCCACATGCAATGACATCACGATTAATTAAGCTATCACCTGAGCTTTATTGTTACCATGAAGCAAGCACCTTTCCTTGAAGGGACAAATGACAACAATGGTTCATTGCTATGGTAACAATTGAGACCTAAAGGCTGAATGGTGGCAGTCTGATTCTAACATCCTGGAAAAACAAAGCAAGTTATAAGCTCAGGTCTTATCTGTTAAGTCTTGTCTTAGTTGAAAACTAGAGTTTGAGTTCTTGAGGAGGATGTGTGGTGCTGAGAATAATGCACTGGATCGCAAAGTCAGTGGTTCAAACTCACCAGCTGCTCCTTGGAAACCGACTCGACCACACTTAACAACAACGTATTATACTGCATCAGTTCTAACCAATCTATCAAATATTTCAAATATTTCATTCATTCCAATGCAAGGGAAGGCTTTGACACAGGTCCAAACTGTATTAAGAAACTTTACAACTTGAGATTTGTAACACGGAACATCATATTATATCAAATTATGTTTGAAGTCTCTTGTGAGCCCCATGATACAGAACTCTAGGGTTTGGGTTTAAAAGTTATGTTTTGTTTATTTGTTTTTTTAAAGAACAAAGTGGTCCTTTTGTCAAAACCATGACATTTTTAAAACAGATTGCTAGGGTGTTTTTTTTTTTTAATGGGATGCTTCTGGGTGGGTTTGAACCCCTAACCTTTTGGTTAGTGGTGAAACACTTATCATTCACACCATCTAGGGGTCCCAAAGATCATTGTTGCCTAGAACGTGTTTTCCTGCTTTTCAAGAACCTGAGGGACAGAACTACAAAGTGGCTTGCTCAATATGTGTACAGATATTTAAACTCCAGTCTCTTGGGCATACATTCTGTGGCTTTACACATATGCTAGAGCATTCATGGACTCCATCCCAAGAAATCAATGCATTTCTAAAGGCTTCAAACCTTAGCGAAACCACATACTTTCCACTCAGGGTGGAGGTTTGAGTAGTTCCTTATTTGTGTGTCCTTATTACTGAATATTTGGTGCTGGTGTCCTCTTGACCTTGCAGCTTCGGCTTGTTAAAGTTGAGCAACGCATAGTGGAGCACTTGTTCCTCTCCTGAGGAGGGGTCAAGCCTAGCCCGGACTCGGTGGTCTAAAGGGATGTCTGTCTGTAACTGGGGTTGTCCCTAAAGGGAAGAAAGAGAATGGATTCAGAGCAGGGCAGTGGGGTTTTTGAGAAAGCATCCAAAGACTAAAAAGATATTGGGACTGATAATGTTGTCATTTATCCGTTCATTTAATCAAAAATACTTAATAATTCAGATTATTCAGCCATTGTTGTTAAGCGCTGTGAGTCCACTCCGACCCATAGCAACCCTGTATAGGGTTTTCGAGGAGCAGCTAATGAGCTTGAACCACCAACCTTGCAGGTCAAATGACTTTGCAGTCTGATGCATTAGCCCACAGCACCACACCAGGTCAGCCGTTAGTAATTGTCTTTCACATTATATTCTCAGAAAATGCTTTAGAGAGGCTCTTACAAATTAGAAAACTAAAGTTAAGAGAGTCTATATACATTGCTCAAAGACACACATATCTTCAAGCCATTATAATCATGGGCTGCCATGATCTTTTCATTCCATTTTTCCATAAACTCTTTGAATCCTCCTTGTGGTAAAAATGAGTTACTTCTAGTCTTAGTCTTTCTATTGTTGTTGTTGTTAAGTTCCATCAAGTCAGTTCTGACTCACAGCAATCCTGTTTAGGGTTTCCAAGGAGTGGCCAGTGAGTTTTGACACTAGACACCTGGCCATAATGTAAATGATCACCAACATGAGATCAGATAAATCAATTATGTTGTAAATAACTTGATACATTATATGATTGTAACAATTAATGAACTGAGAAGCGGTGATATCAGAGATGGAGGCAGAGATGAGGACATGAAGAGAGAGAGCAGCGGAGGACTCTAGACTCATGGAAAGAGAAAGGCTGTGTGCTAGCAGCCAGGAGGCAGGCTTGCAGAATGTGCTCTTTGGTTGGTTGTTTAAATGATTATATATTCCTGAGTGTTTTTGTGTGCATTCAAAAAAAAAAACAAAAACAGGGAATAGAAGCAAATACTGTTGAACTATGATGCATGGAGAGGATTGTAATCATTACAATGAAATAAAATAATAAAGTAGGATGAGGGTAAAAACTGATGTTCTACTATCACTCAATTCACAATGTAAACTTTAATTAAAAAAATAATGAACCTAAATATATCGCATGGGGAGGTGATAGTCTCTTCAACAGATGGTGCTGGCAGAACTGGAAAGTGACATGCAAAAGACTGAAACAAGACCTTCACCTCACACCCTATACAAAAACCAACTCAGCATGGATGAAAGACCTAAATGTGAATTCCAGAATTGTGAAGGCCATCAATGAAAAAATAGGGACAAATGTGAGGGCACTAATTCAGGGAACACACTGACTATCAAACATTTTGAAAATTACACAAATAGACGTAGACAAAATAGATGATAGGGACATACTAAAAATTAAAAACTTATGTGCATCAAAAGACTTCACCAGAAGAATAAAAAGGGAACCCACAGAATGGGAAAA